TATATATATATATATTATACTTTGTTTTTGTTTGTTTAAATTAAAAATAACAAATTGCATCTCGTATGACATAGCGATTAATAAAATGGACAAAATAATGAAATTTCATATTCAAATTTTGACGAAAGCACAAAAAAATACTAATTTTTTATTTGTCTATATTATGAAGGATAAAAGTATGTTATCCAATATTTGTCAAGTATCTGGTAAAATAAATCAAGCACAAACCGATTTGGATACCACAAGAAAAAGGAACTAATTGGCTTTGTGGGATATATATATACTAGTTATTAGGTTCCCGCGCCAGCGCGGGCCCAATGTATATTGCTTCCTCCGTCTCATTTTATGTGAGGTAGTTTGATTCGCCACGGAGTTTAAAAAAGAAATGAAGACTTTTAAAATTTGTGGTCCAAAATGAATGATATAAATTTGTATGACTGTAAATTATTTCATTAAGGGTAAAATAAATATTTTATAATCAAATTGTTACTTAATATAGAAATGTGACATTCTTTTGGGACTGACTAAAAAGGAAAGTAAATAACATAAATTGGGAGTAGTTCTTTGTTTCAATTTATGTGACACCGATGAAATTTGGAGAGTTATATAATTTTTTGTATGTGATTTTGTTAAATATATTTTGAAGTTGTTAATTTATTGTGATTTATAGCACTTCTTATATCATTTTCAAATAATATATATTACTCTTTCTGTTCCATTTTATGTGACGTAGGTACTTTTACGAAACTCAACTAAATTTCTTATATGATTCTTAAATATTTTTAGTTGTTATTTTACTTTAATTTACGTTACTTTTTATGTTATTTTCAAACAAACTTCTTATGTTTCAATATGGAATTAAAGAGTCAATAAAATTTCTTTTATGATTTTTAATTATGTTTTTTTAATATCTTATATTATTACATTGTGATTTTAAGTACTTTTTATGTAATTTTTAAATCTAGAACAAATTAAAAGAAAAACAAGGAAAAATTTAAATGAAGAAAGTACTAAAATTTTCAAATAATCATATTTCTATATTAAAATGTTAAAAACTTTAAAACTCCACATATATGCAGAAAATCATATACGGAAGACAAAATAATTTTTAAAATATATATTAAAGCTCTTTCTAATAATATCACATATTTATTCTATTTTTCAAATAATATATATTTCTCACTCAATCTCAATTACGCAGTACATATGAAATTTCGAGAGTTAATCAAATTCTTAGTACTATTTTAAACTATATTTTAGTACTATTTATATAATTTTCAAATAATATATGTTACTCACTCTATTATATTATGCAATACATATGAAATTTCAAGAATTAACCAAAATTTTAATATTTTAAATTGATTTTTAGTACTATTTTTGTAGTAAATAGAGGAAGTTGAAGAAGAAGGGCAAATCGGTCAATTGACTGACTAACCCTAAGCTCCTAAACATTCTCACTTCTAAATGGAAGCACGGGCACAATATCCGTTAAATTGTTAATTATTATGATTTATAATATTTTTTACATTATTTTCAAATAATATATGTTATGTATTTTTAAATACTTTAAGTTGTGATTAATAATATTCTTAACGTAATTTCAAATAATATATGTTACTCCATTTGTCCCAATTTATGTGACACATGTGAAATTTTGAGAGTTAATATGTTTTTCAAATATTGTAAGTTGTTAACTATTGTGGTTTATGGTATTCTTAATGTAATTTTTCAAATAATATATGTTATTCCCTTCGTCTTAATTATACAATTCGCGTAAAATTTTGAGAGTTAATCGAATTTGTAATATTTTAAATTTATTTTTTAGTACTATTTAAAAAGGAAAAAATTAAAATATTACTATATAAGAAGAGTAGTAATTATATAGTAATTTTTCAAATAATATATGTTATTCCCTTCGTCTTAATTATAGAATTCGCGTAAAATTTTGAGAGTTAATCGAATTTGTAATATTTTAAATTTATTTTTTAGTACTATTTAAAAAGGAAAAAATTAAAATATTACTATATAAGAAGAGTAGTAATTATATAGTAATTTTTCAAATAATATATGTTATTCCCTTCGTCTTAATTATAGAATTCGCGTAAAATTTTGAGAGTTAATCGAATTTGTAATATTTTAAATTTATTTTTTAGTACTATTTAAAAAGGAAAAAATTAAAATATTACTATATAAGAAGAGTAGTAATTATATAGTAATTTTTCAAATAATATATGTTATTCCCTTCGTCTTAATTATACAATTCGCGTAAAATTTTGAGAGTTAATCGAATTTGTGATATTTTAAATTTATTTTTGGTTTCCTTAATGACCATGCAACTGTATAGTTTGACCAATAATCGACACAAGCGGCTACCAAATCACTGGCCTCTACTTTTATACATTTAAACATATTTTAGTGTATAGTTTTAATATTGTAGGATCTATTATAGCTCAACTTTTTCTTCATTTTTACCAATACAATCATATGGCTAGACTCTTTTAATGATCAATATTGCATGAATTGATGGTGGGTCCAAATTATTAAAGATGTCTACACATAATCAAGATAGATGCTAGACATGATTTACCTAGAGATTGATCCTCCTCATGATCACTTTGGGACAATTCTTGAAAATAACTATGGCCTATATATGAAAGTCAGTCGTCTGTGATATGCCTTTTAACTTGATCTCATTTTATAAGTACGTCCTTCAACTTTGAGTGTGAATAAATAGACATTTAAACTTGTATAAAATTATACAAATAAACACACACGTCAAACAAACTCCAACAACCTTAATTATTTCCAAAGAATATATAATCACTATTAAAAAATATGAAATTAACTACGGAATTTCTCATTAAATTAAATATCTTTATTGCTAAATAGCTCTTAGCTAGTTGGCTTTTCAAATGATTCGTCGTTAATTCATAACTAGGTGGGATTATCATGAGATTTTTATTGTTAAAGCTACAAAATTTGTCCGTTGCTAATTCTTTATTTTCTTATAGCAAATAAAATATTTCCTCAGCCCCTAATTACTTGTCCACTTTTGAATTGACATACCTATTAAGAAATCAATTAATGACATAGTGAGTTTACCATTTTACCTCTATTAATTATAAAGTGGATGAAAAGTTTGCATTTTTCAAAGTAATTAGTCATTTAATTGAGGGTATAATAGGTAAAAAAAATTGTCGCTTCTTGATTTGTCAAAATGGACAAGTAATTAGGGATAATTATAAAAGAAAAAATAGACAAGTAATTAGGGAATGAGGAAGTATGGTTTAATTAATGTAGGCCTTATTATATTTGTCTTCATCATGACTAATCCGACTAAATTAAAGTTTTCTAAATTCA